CCAAGGAGCAGGGAATAAAAGAGGAAAGAGGGCAACCGGGCAGAACGGCAAGCGAGGGACGGAACTAGAAAGAGGGAGTCGAGGGCCTGGGGACTTTTTATTCCACTTATTCACCGTTCCTTCGTATATTCCGAAGAAATTCGCGTTCCTTCGATCGGCGACGTGTCCCGACGTTTCGCAGCCCCGAAGAGAGTCTTCCTCGACCCTCTCCCCCAAATAGCCGCGCATGAATGCACTTACCGACAGAGAGCTCTTCGCTTGAAATTTATCGACACGAGGTTTAAGCGCCTTTTGCACCGTGACGCGACAAGCAAAAGCGGATTTCCGACCGAGGATATTCTCGAGTGTCGTGCTTGTACCTACGGGCCGCATTACTCGCGTCGCCACTTTCTATGTGCGTTGCTTACCGATTCACCTGATAAAACGCATCGTTTGAGCTCCGGTAGCTGCCCGGTTTCAGCTTACCGAAAAGAAGGAAGCGAAAAAAAAATGAGGTGGAAACCCGGAAAGAACCTCCGAGACTTTTAATTCCGTTTATTTCCCCTCTCTCTGTCATAAACGTCGGGAAATTCCCATTTCTTTGATTCGCAAGAGCTCGACGTCTCTCTCGACTTCGAGGAGGGGAAACCTGGCGACCTCCTGAATCGCGCATAAATGCATTTTCATCCTTCCGAATTTGTCGGTATAACGATCCCCTCTTTAGAGGAAAATCCAGTCGAAACATGCGGCTGGATTTTTTTTTCCTCTATGCGGTACAAATTGGATTTCGTAACTTGACCCAATTAACTTCATTATTATTTTTTTTATACAATACAAATAAAGAATTATTTTATTACAAGCACTGAAATATAACAGTACTGGAACCGCTCGTCAGGGTAGCCGGTTTTAAAGGCTGTAATTAATATTGGTTTTCGGATTTTATTCCTCGGCATTTTTTCATATCAACAAAATAACGAAGACAATTCCTAGGTACACTTTAAACGTGACGAAAATCTCGAACAAGGGAAGAATACTTTCACGATGTATTTATTGCTTTCACGCGACTTTTTCTTCTGAAGGTAATAAAATGCGTCAGCTGATGAATCAACAGCGGTATGAAATAATAATAGCTAAACGAGTCTTTACACGAATTCGATACTGTTATACCTGAAAATGAGAAGTGTCGCCACGCGATGACGGGTTATTGTATAACCATTCACCTCGTTCGACTCGCTTTCCAAGCTTAAATCAAACGAAAGGTTCCTTTACAAAGGACCTTTGTCCTTTCCGTTGAGCTACCGGCGAGGTGAGCAAAAATATTACTGGCTACCGATATCGACAGACTTGCTTGTTTGTTGCCCGTAATTTACAGTGGCCGTTAATAGCATGGCGGAGATTAAGGAGGGAAAAAGCTTACCACAATAACGATGAAAACTTAAGAGCTCAAAGTTACAACAATTCACAAAACAAAAAAGACTGATGATTTCGGCTTTTAATATACATAAAAAAGATCTTTATATTTGGCAGGTCTCGCCAATCAAAGTCATTCTTTCGGTACGATTGATATTTTACGCGATAGTCGATTTAGCGTTCCTCGGACTGGAGTTCGATCGTTTCGCCAGGTGAGAAGTTTCGATCTCTCACTAAAATTTCCTCCCGAGGTAAAATCCCATGATATCTATTGCATCTATTCGCAAATGTATTATTTTAATTCCCATATCCCCCTGCAAATTCAGAAAGGACAATACGATTATTATGAGTTAAGTAGTGAATCGGATTTTGAAATTTTCTAGCCCTGCCTGAATTTCGCCCGTACAAGCTCTGGTGTTGAACCAACTATAAGCTTGTTTCGCAAGTATTCGGTTGAAATGCAGCTCGTGGAGCGAAATTACCAGCCGCCCGGGACAGAATTAGATACGTGAAAATTTCTGGTCAATTTCCATGCGTTTGATGGTGGAAACTTTGGGTTTCGCCGGATATACGGATGCAACCTGTAGTTGACTGCAGAACGACAAACAACCCCTGCAGACAACGACCGGAGGGCTCTCTCGTTGAGCCCTCTCGTATTACGTCTTGATTAAGTGGCGGTTCTCACCCCCCGTAGTCGTTCCGCACCCTTGAAAATGAGACTTTATGCCCCCGTCTTGACCGCACTTTACAGAAGACGCAAATGTAAAAGACCTGACGCACGTTACGACCGCTTGGTGTAATGACTATGTGGGAAGTCTACGGTTATGACCGCATAAAGGATAGTAGGTAATGCCAAAACTGCCAACTTCCCCAAATGACTAAATCTATACACGTATAGTACTCGATATGATATTTTTGTTTAAATTTCTTTGCTAATTTATTTTCCGGAAACATTACAATGTCTTCGGTGGTTCCTGAATATGAGATATAACTCGCGACAGAGGTTCATATAAATTGCAGAGGATGTCTTTTCAGGAAGCTAAGAAGCCTTCCAGCTAACATAACGAGCCGTGGGTGTCTAGTTACGGGTTATCCTTAACACCCTGTGACAACCAACTATATTCATCACCACCCAGCTATACATCATATCTCTGGTGAAGCCTGCGACATGATTTACGGGTGCGTTAATACTTTAACGACTAGGGAAAGACGACACCCTGTAATGTACCAATAAAGTTAAGTACGTTTATTCGTGAAAAAGTGGGAAGAATTTATCTTCGTCCTTGGTAACATGTAGCGATATCGAAATAGCTTCATCCTAAGTATACTATACCTAAGTGACCGAGGGTACACTTCACAATGGATTTGGTATAAAGACCAGACAAATTTACTACGACGAAACAACGGTATAGACACCTACAGAGAGGTCGAACTCCATGTATCATTTTATATAAACACCCGAAGAAAAGTTTCTTTTCCTACTAAAGAAATGTTAAAAATTCCGTATTAGGTGATTACAAATGGCTGTGTGAACCTAGAATCCAGTTTGACGTACAAACAAAATTAACAGGCTTTGAAAAAAAATCAACAAATTCCGAAAATTACCATTTTAACGTTTTCGAGCTTCTGGGAGGCTCTGAATTTTCCTAACGCCAGAGAACCCATTGGAGTAAAAAAATCCAAATTTCCACAATTTCATAATTTGTTTATCTATTTGAACTTTTGAAGGTTTTGGAAAATCGCGACAATCAGTCTTGTACCGTTCCCGAATGGTTTTCGAGTTTTTATCGAATTTCTTACAGTGCCGCGCACATGGAATCGAAGCTATCGATTGTCCCTCTTGGAACTATCAATTCATACACAACCACCAGGAAATGCGCGAATTCACGTGAGTTCGTCAGGCGGTTAGACAGTGTCAACCAGCAGGTTAGTTTGTGACGAATACGAATTGCCCGTCAGGATCAGGGGAATGGGTTAAATGTCAGTCTGCAGTTGACAGCGTAACGCGTACCCATGGCATTTACCCGAACCAGGGTGAGCTCGGACAACGAGGCCACATATATATTCACCTGTATACATATGTACACGCGTATGTACATACAGTGAATCCGGGAATTCGGGAGAAAGGCGAGTTCTGTCGGGCGATAACAACAGATGTTCCAGGACGATGTATTTTAGGTGAAATAAGTACACGGCATAGACAAGCCTCGAGATCGAATCCTCGGATACGTGACCGAGGCTTTCTTCAGGTTTTCGCGAGCCCTTCGTCTGTACTCGTGGAAGAGTCGTGCCAAGATCTATTTACGTCTGATTTAAAACGTTCCCCGTGGAATGAGAATTCTACTCTCTAGACTTGCGCGTAGGCCACTCTTCCGGGGAACGAGAAATAGCTCGGTTAAACTCGCCGTAACGAAGTGAACGCAATCTTCAAGAATTACACGTTTTTTCCCAGGGATCTGACCCCACTCCTTGATAGCACCCAGAGATACGCACTTCTAAGAGTGGCAATTTGTACCCTGAAAATGATATTCTCCATGTTTTAAAGTATTTAGTCACCAGCGGGTTTTGTAATTTCAGACACGGGCTGGAATACGTTATCTGCAACGCGCTTATTTGTCTCATAAATGATACGCGTTACGAGAACGCGCTGAAACTCATTTCTGTCCAAGTTTGCCCCAGTGCGAGTGGACTTGTTGAATTGCTAGTAAAAAATTAAGGTACCTATGAAATATTTCGGCATTAATGTCGCCGGCAGTGGCCACGAGAGATACCGGAGCCCGCAATTTGCATCGTGTTGCTAACCCGAAGGGAAATCACGTGGTGGTATGCACCGAGTGCCGGGAGGGGAGAGGTGCTAATGGCCAAAGGTACGTGAGCACAGTGCTTAATACGATTGACAGTACTACTCGGTAATTATGAACGGCGATGCTTCGCAGCATGAAGCGAACACGCGAGAGGGAGCGAAAAAAAAAACAAGGAAAGAAAAATGGGAGTACAAGTAACAGACGGTGCTCTGGATTGTTAACGATTCGGTTCATTCGCCCGAAATGGTGATCCTCAAACTGGAACGAAATTTATTTCTTAAATGAACTTTGTCAAAGGTAGATAAGTGGGAAAAGGTATAAAGGGGAAGGAGATGGACGTTCAAATATGTTATTTAACTACATTACACTCTATAGATGTAATACTTGCGCCATTTGGGAATCTTATCAAAGCTAATTACAGTTCGTCACGTAAAATGGGAAAGCTTCGAGGGAACCCTCGAACGGCCGATGCACAAAGCACCTCATCGTACACTTCGGGTGACGTAATATTCCTAAAGTGCATTTTCATGGTCCCTCGTGCAACGGGAACGCAGGGACAAAATTAAAACGAAATGCGCCATTCGGCGATCGCGTTTCCAAGTTACGACCCGAAGGAAGGGAAAAGGGACATTCGAAAATCAAAGAGGACCGCAACGCGTGATGCGATTCCATTTTTAACGCCGCGATCGCAATTTTTGTTCTTTTTTCATTCTTCGTCGCTACTGTTATCTTTCGAGCGATATCCGTGGTAGTCGATGACGGAACGCTTTTTTGTCAGGGTCAATGTTACTTAAACATACCGATTACCTTTCAGGCTGCATGTCGATGCGGCTAAAGTCCGTGTCTGATTGGCCACAGCCAGCAATCGAGGAGTGTCCGTGGTACGGGAACTCTTCGATTTCGGAGCACTCTGTTTTTGCACGCTGTAACTTCGAGTACGTCGACGGAAAAGTGGCGAGTCCAAGAAGGACTCGTCGTAATGCGGCATCCTTGTTAGATTTCCACTCCGCGTGGAATTTCACTGCCCGTTCACTTATGCCCAGCACAGTTTTTTCGTTCATAATAAACGGATTAAATGACCATAATCGAGTTTCGCCGACCTTTTAGCGCCGACTTTGCGTAGCACAAATTCACTTTTCCCGCTTTTCGATAGGAGACATCCAACGCAAAAAGTGATCCCTCGCTAAAACGTTTTTATTAATCGTTTCGTAGAATTACGAATTAATGTGAAAGAATTACCTGAGACACGAGGCTATCGATTTGATGCTCTATATCTTTGTTTCGCATGTTTATATCGCTACAGTATTGCTCAGTAAAAGTCGCGTAAAATATGAAGGAACGAATAAATTGACCCATTGCACTTGTATGGTGTCTGTATAAGACAAATTGTGAGAGATATTAGGATGAAATGGCCTTGAGGGTAAAGAGTTACAATTTTTCGTAACGGTTCAGGGTAAACCTTATCATGGCACAATAACGTTTTAAGAATGTGAGTCCATTACAAAGTGTATACAGCGGATTTATATACCTATCCAAATTAAGAAGACAGTTGAGGAAGATAAAAAACGAGAGTAAAAGTAAATCTGTCAGATCTTGATAAAGCACATTAAATTTGAATATGTTGATATCACGCGATGGAAGCATTTTGATTATTGCAATATTTACTACCCGTCATATATGAACGATAATCGGAATTGTAACGAATAGAACTTGGATCAAGAACAGCCGTTCAGTTTCCAGTTCCTTGATCTTAGATCCAACCGATATGCCGCAAGTGCGACACCTTTCAAATTTATATTTAAACCGCATTTTCGAGTCATATTCTACTGGCACCTAAATGGGTCTCTTTTTGTAAAAATCCCCAAGTTGTCGAAAAGCTGTACAGATTCTTTCCTCGAGTGCTCCGAAATGGGATTCTTTTCAGCGACATCGGAAAAGGACCACTCCACGCCCTGAAACGTTTCAGATTTCACTTTATCGAGCCCCCGACACGTCGAGGGGCCCTGAGAAACCCGAGGGCACATTTCATTTATACTTGGACATTTCGGGTTATTCGCGGCACAACGCGGCTCGTGTGGCGATCCGAGCTCATTAACGACACGCCCATTATCCGATGCTTGTGAACGAAGGATGATTTGAAAATTTGCACTTGAAAGTAAAACTATTTTCCTACGGTAACATTTCGACGAAGCACAGAAGACCGAGCAGAACGATTACTCTCCAAGTTCTCTCGACTTCGTACAATTTGAATAAGACAATATCAAATTGATTGTACCGACATGCTAACAGAATTTCTTATACATCTTTTCCGATATGTACACAATAATTTACCCGAGCAAGCGTACAAGGTCGAACGTCTCGCACTTTCGTTGGATTTTTATGAATACTCGGTATACACGTTAACCCTGCACGCGTCGTAAAAAGGGTACCCATTCAACACGTGGAAAGGCTCGCCTTTTCACGAGTCCGTCACATAACACTTCGTGCACGTTCCGCGACTCGACGAGTCCGTCCTGAAACCCGTGAGCATACAAATTCCGATTTTGTTTAGACGTCGCGCGTAGAGAGAGTCACGTTTCCCCGGGCGATCGCGGCACTCCTAAGCTCGCGTAGCAATTCAGACCCGGCGCGAGCGCAAAGCTATCTGGAGCACTTCTGCCGAAGAAGATCGCGAGAAAGAAAGTCGGGAACGAAGTGCACTTTTTTTTCTTTTTTTTTTTTCTCCCCTTACGCCCGGCGGCCCGCGTAATCTGGTAGTATCGGCTGACATGCAGCTCGCGGTTATCAGGAATCGTCGGCGCGCGAGTTGACCATGTTATTGCCATTATCGCGGCGCCCCGACAAAAACGCGGACTTAAAGGCGAAGCCGCGCGACCCAGCGGGAATACGAATGCAATTTGCCGGAATATAACCGCCGGATCGCGGCGAATTGGGAGAGGAGAAACGGAGACAGAAATCGATCTCCGTGAAAAGCGGCTTGCCTCCGATGGTTAGGTCCAATTATCCGGAGTATCGAATGCGCCATCAAATTGGTTCGATTAAAGTGAGAAAGAGGGAGAGAGACGGAGAGGCCGAACCGACGCTCTTCCATCTCGCTCTTGCCGAATCGGCTGGAAATGTTGACAAGGTGGCTAAATATAAACGATTCGTCACGTAACGCAAAGATCTCCCGAAATTCGTTCATATCCGGGTGGATCCTACCAAGGAGACCGGGAGTAGGTATCTATTTTCAAGTGACAAATGTCGCGTTACAATTACCGCACCCTTTTCCGTGTCCAGGCGTCGGGACGCTCTGGGCACCCGACACCGGGATAGGATACCAGCACTCCTGGCGGCGGTCCTTAAACCAAAGAGAAATTAGACAAGTCTCCTGTTTCACTCCTCGGTATCCTCCTGCAAAGCACAAATTCGCAGAGACACATACTCGGAAAGGACCATGATTTTGCATAGGAGACGCTGTACCCTCGTAAATTCGCGAAGGACGTTAAATACTACAAAAATATCTCTACGGTATTGCTCGCGTTGGAGTAGATTAGGTAGGGGCATTTTATGCAATGCTGTTATAAAATTACTTTTCTTCGGGTAGAATAATGCTGCAGTATGGAGGAGAGTGTATCTATCCACTTTATGAAATGAGTCGTTCGAGACAAGTGGACTCTTCTCGTTCATGCAATTTCATGTCGATTGTATTTACGTGCACGGCACTCAGCTTTAGGTAACCAGTCATATAAGTCTGACTTTCTTTTAACCATTAATTATGTCGGGAATTATGGACATAATTAGAATAGGCGTAAGTAATCATTTACTTTGCACTGCCGTCAGACACTTAGTCATTAGGGCAGGGCAAGCCGTGTTACAATAGGTAATGCTATTACAGTTAAATCAATATTGCTAGGCTAGCGTCGTAACGACAGCTTTGGTTCAACAGTGTAGGAGGTATCATTAGCTCTGTTTACTGTTTCATGCTAATTCTAGATCCACACATAGGCATACCTATAGCTAGCTGCAATGCAGTTACATGATAATATTGTTCTCTTGCAGTGAACAGTTCCCGCAGTGATGTCGAGTAGCTAGCTTAATTTGGGATTTACCCATATCTTGGCCAACAATTACACATTCATGCCAGGAATATACTCCCTCGTTTGACAAGTCGTGGATCGCGTTTATTGAAAACACCCCTAAGGACACTAAAAAATTTAAGATCTAATAAAAGACGCTAACAAATAAGGGAAAAGTCGTAATCTCACTAACCATGCCAAACGAATTTAGAATATAATAATAGGTACGGTACATATCAACAGGATATGAAGATCCATAAAAAATACAGCTTAAGAGAAAGCAATCAAGGCATATCTTAAAGCATTTATAATTAGAATTTACCAACGTCTCCTTACAGGAAACGAAACGAAATAATAGGATTCGTCATAGACAATCTTTTATTGGCATCACATCACTTATTTTCACGTCTCGGAACACGTGTGTAAAATATCGATTGGAGGATGTGATCTGCCTCGAAGATGGAAACGAATAGTTGGGCCGCAAAGGGAGCATATATTTTCGAAACAAGATTCTTCGATAGCATCATCCTCAAGGTATAAAGCCTTGAAATCTTTCCATGCCGCTGCCGCGCGAATCTGCGTCACGACCTAAAATCGAAGGGACCCCGGCCGGACCTCGACTAAAACAAAGAGGATCTTCGAACCTAGCGCAAGTTACTACCTCGTTGGACACATGATCCGAGTTTACTGGAGCGAGAACCTAACCTCTTCATATCCCGCCGCCCACCTATGGCGTCTCCTAGGAACCTTCGTTATAGTCGTACCCCAGAGTCGAAGTGCCTCTTGGATAATACGGACATCGTCCACGCCGTGAATGCCCTGGATATAGTTCATCGGATCGGATTGGGGATTGTGTAAATGGTATAAAATATATGGTAAAAAGTATTAAATATCAAATGGCCATAAACGCTATTGCTTGTGGAACTTCATTAAAAAATATTGATCGATACGGACATTTATTATTCCTAGGTAGTTTCTCTTTTATTAACGAACCCGTGCCATGGAGTTTAATCGATCAAATTGTTATTATTTATTACCGAGAAAGAAACTCATTCCACGGTTGATAGGGCGTGCATCGGGGATGCCGAAGATTGACAGAGCGTAGAGTCTGCTACAACGTACCCAGGGACGATCACTATGGACTCCTTCGGAATCACGCAACATTCTTTCCAGGCAAGGATGAATGTTACATTACCGATAGAGACCACGGCTAGCCTACCGTGACGATCTTCGATGAATTCAGGCCGGGTATGTCGCATGCGGAATTAATGCGAGGCCAATCCCAAACGACGATCGAATCATACCACGCCCATTAACGTCAACGTCATTTATGCCAACCCTTCAGGTGCCGAAATTTGGTCGCCATCGGAAATTGAGCGCGTTATATCCTTCTCCTGGCAGCTCAAAAAAAAAAAATTCACCACCCACAAAATGAAGCATTCACTTTTCTGCAGCTAGCACCTCCTTCATCTAAATAAAGACCTCCTCGCGTGTTTAGGATTTCTAAGAATATACTTCTCGTGGTGGATACAGTTATAGAGAAAATATTGAAGCACCTTAAATGAACGTTAAAGAGACAAGGTGCCAGCTACTGGCAAAAACCACCGGCACTACTCAAAACGTCACTCCTAGATACCCCGACGTAAACACGTCGAATTCCCTATTCGACCGGAGAGACTCTTTTCTCTCCTAAGATTAGCCAGGCGATTCGCCCATCTCCAGCTATCCAATTCCGATTTCAAAGGAAGACCCTGAATTCCCGGAGCACCTTAAAGTCGGACGAAAACCTACGCTCCCGGGAGCACTCGAAGCGACAATAATGGCCGAGCATCGTTCCTTCTCCCGACGTCTTTTATCCCCCGTGGTCGCGGACAAGCTCAACCGCGGAACAAAGGGTCCTCGACGGGGTCCCAATCGCGGCTTCTACGAGGATTTTACGTAACTTCCCCGGGTCAGGTTCTCTCTTCCTCGCTTAAGGTCAATTCCGGCCATGATTGCCGCGTGAAAGATGTAAGTGTATCGCGCGCTCGCGCGCCCGGGGCTTACGCGATTAATAATAATTAACGCTGATGAACTTGCGACCCAGTTTTCGATCCGGCCGGTGCCGGCGACGAAAACGCCTCGTTATTTTAGGAGAGATCGTTTCGCCCTCGGCCGCCGCACCCGCGACTGCCAGATTACGCGCGCTCATGAACGCGCATCTATATTCCGGCGTGGCCGCGTACGAAAGTGCGTACGGTTGCACGGGCCAGCATTCGCGCGCGCGTTTCCCCCCCATGCAATGCCGGGATTACCGGCTGTTACTCTCAAATCGCTTCAAGTACCGACCCCGGACTCGCGCGTCCGTTTTTGAAAAAAATAATTCCCCCAGTACCGCCGACGAGCTGCGTTTCCACCTCCGCGTTTTTTTTTCTTTCCCGACCGACGAATACGCCTGTAAAAGCGTCCTTTCCCCTCGCCAGGAAAATGGACTTAGAAATTGACTCGAATGTACGTAAGACTTAAAAGTACTCGCGATAAAGACGATTTATGTACTCCTTGATTGATTGGGGATAGCCGTGTGGTACATTTGAATGGTATTTAATTGGAATTCGGAGTATCCGTGAATGGAAATGTTCACTTGGATTCTCGAATGCAAAATTCCGGAGTGCATCGATATTCACTCGCTTATTCGTCCTGCGAAAATAAATATTTTACGACGGCACCGGCGTCTGCGATGAATGAATAACAAAAGCTCGACCGTGAAACGATTCCAAACGTCAGCCGCAAGAGATAATAAACAAGAATGATTTTCCTCAGAAAATTTTATCTTGAATTTCTTTTATCGAATTCTGGCTTTATCGTAGCTAAAGTACGAAGACAACAAGTCGTGGATGGGGAATGGCAAATATTATTTAACATGATTTATTTTCGAATGAAACAGCAGGCATAGAATGAACGATAAAGCTGAAAGTAGGTATTATAACTCCAGTAGAATGATATGCTGGAAGTTGAAAATAAAACTGAACGGGTAATCTTTAAAAGGCAAACAAAGGGTCACAAGCGAGATGATCGGTCCGAAAGGCACATCATTTATAAATGCCTCATATCCCCCCTCTTTTCGGCTTTCCTCTCGGGTAATGATGACACTGGCATCTACATATAGCACAGCCATCCCAGAAATCAGTTCTAAAACCGACTCAGACATCAACAGACACGTAATAGGCGCGATAAAAAAGAAACGCATAAATTAAGAACCCAGCGTTGCACCGGGTCGTTCCTTATATGTATATCGGTAGCCGTACTACGCGCACGTGTAACAATACAACGTAAACAGGCAAGCTCTCACGTGAATCGACATCGGCCGCGCTTGATCTTCCGCACTTGCGGGAGTTAGACTCGCGTGCAAATTGGTTTCGACTCGCCCACGAGCAATCGCTCAAACGAGTCGGAATCCAAATAGTCGGCCGACTCCGTCATTTACGACAATAACGCCGCGGAACGAGGCGTAATTACACGAGACCGCTAACGAATTGCCTCGCTCAATCGATCGCCTTTTGGACCGATAAATTGAACCGTTAATCGATGCCGCCTCACGCGGAGTAATCTGGCAGGAACCAATTACGTCCAGAGATCGTCGACCTGTTCGTTCGGTATAACGACTCTACGTAACAACTTCCGACGTTTACATTAGGAAATCCTTCCGTTCCGTTGCATTTACCGAGTTATGCCAAGAATGCGCCGGATTTCTCCCTCGTCTTATTAATTTCAACTTCGCCTTGTAATTCTTTTTATCGCACGCAACTCTACCGCCACGTGAACGCCATTTACACGCTTAAACTCTCGTAAGGAGATATTCATCGCATCGGGAGTTTAATGTCGAGTAAACGTCGTGATTTGGATCGCGATAGCTACTTTTTGCATGATGATGGAATGGCTAGGGCGTTATTGCTCGTTAATAACCAGACCGATGAAATGGCGGAAGTAAGGGAAGTCGGGATTATCATAATCTAATGTAAAGTCCCTATTATATAATTTCGGGGGAGAAATTTTAGGTCGTCAGTCCTGGAAAGTGTGAAAGTACTATTGATCATTGCAGACCCGTTGTTCATAATATTTCGATGTCAATAATTATAAGAACAGGATTTTCTCTTAAGACTTGTTTCCACTTTCTTCTGCATCACATGCAGTTCGATCGTTGGGTGGGCGCGACTCTCTGTACGAGACCCCATCTAAACCTCCATGACGTGCGAGGGATAATGAGGGTGAAAACAGGATTTCCTCCGATAAATCTTC